TTTTACCTTAGACCCGCCCTGAGTGAGCTGCCATCAGTCCACCATTTTTTCGTTGCCGGAGCAGATGTAGACAAGAATGACTCCTAAGTGATTGAGGTGCTTTGTTGTTGGATGTAGTAATGAATATAGCAGTCGTCGTTTACTCCCGACATCTAAGCCGCTGAAGACGCAGTGGCTACGTTTTTACGGTGAATATACTTTTTTTATGAATCTTTGCAAATCGCCTTTCCTAATAAGGTGCTAGTTAGCAAGTTGAATGCAGCTAAAGTTTACCGTCTCTCAGAGAGAGGCTCAGAAGAGGGGGCGGGGTCAGCAGAGCTCATTTGCATTTAAAGCGGCATGCAAGAAAACGGCTTGCTCTGAAAAGAGCTGTTTTTGACAGGGTAAAAAGGGTGTTGTTTTACACTACCATTGAGAAATTTTAACCAAAGTATGTTATAGACGTTTCATTAAGATCCTAAAGAATCATATCAACTTATGACAAAATTTGAACTCAGAGACTTTGTTCTGCTCTGCTCTGTCTTGTATGTCGGAGCGTTGTCAGTGTCCTCTTTGCTCCGTGATGTATTTTTCACTGCATGAGAACATGATGTGTGCCATAAAAGTGCCATGGTTTGTCTGACGTAGCAACAGTAACGAGGTGGGGGGGGTCAATTTAGAGTAGCGGGGCGTTGCTGGCTCAGGTTCTGAGATGACAGCATGAACATCTTTCTTACGGTAGAAAATTACATCTGGAGTTTGTGCTTGACTGCTGGGTCAGAAGTAACATGCTGCCTATGACGAGCATTTATTTTACTTTGCTTGGCAGTGGAATCTGGTAAAATAGATGGAAGTAATTATAAATAAATAAATAATCAATTACTAATAAATGTATAATTACCAAACTAAAATTACATGCTATAAATTGTTTTTGTTTTTTTGTGCATTTTTTCCTCATGTTGTACAAAGATTAAGCATAAACTGTCTGAAATTACCTAAATTGCATAAAAATCTATTCCAAATTATACTAAAATAAAGCATTTTATGTATATAAACCGTCAATTGAAAACAAAAGCACAAAAACTGCCAATCTGGGACATATATCTATTATGGAAAACACACTGCAGTGGTCGCACCACATGATATTTTCAAATTCAGTCAAAATTTACAGGCACAGAATTGGCCACCTAAACAAAACAAGCTAGCTTCCCATAAAATGTCACTATGAAATTTATGATAAAAATGAATACTTGTAGAAATAACTTAATATTCATTGTTTTTTTTATGTCATACCACATGATATCCAAATGTGGTAACTACATACCAGCCGTTAAAAAGGTTATTTTTTCCCAAATTTGAAAGATACAAACCTGCTTGATGCTTCAATGGGTCCTTGGCAAATTGGTATATGATACAACGTCTTTGAATGGATTTCAACATAAAAGTCCCAAAATGGTAGTTTCTTGATGGTCGCACCACATGATATTTCATAAAATGCACCTCATCGGACAAATTTTGTTTGTATATTATGATGGAAATATAAATACAAATGCTTTGCAATTTTACACAGGATTACAAAACATTTTGGAAATCGTGCCAAATAATGCAGAAAATTAATCTGAATAAATTCAAAGATGTTTCCAAAACAGAAGTTATGGCCGGACGGTCGCACCACATGATATTTTGACACTTTGAATAACAGAAAAATTACAAATAACTAATGTTTTTCGAAAGGTTAAAATGAGTACATACATGGGAGTGGTACTTTATATATATGGCATCTTTTTTATGTATTTAAACCAATTTTTAAACTGAAAAAATGCAATCGGACCGACAGTTTAGACGTCACGTCATTGACCCATGTGAGTTGTTCTGCAGTGTTTGTGATGTTGTTGTGTTGGTTTGTGTGCCTCAGTGCCTCTGAAGAGCATCTCAGTGGAGGTTCTGGTTCAGGATCATGTAGCCACAGTCTCCTCCACTCTGCAGTATGTGAATGAGGAAGAGCGCCCCCTGGAGGCCTTGTTCGTCTTCCCTCTGCCTGCTGATGCTGCTGTCTGCCACTTCAGTGCCAAGATCGGAGAGCAGGAGATTGTGGCAGAAGTGCAGGACAGAGAAACCGTGAGTCCAAATACAAACCGCAACTCAGTTGCATATATTTTTTACTTTACATCATTTGACAAAACCATATCTTGCAGGCGAGGGATCGGTATGATGACGCTGTGAGTTCGGGTCAGCAGGCGTTTCTGTTGGAAGAGAGCACAGAGAGTCCTGATGTGTTCAGACTGAGTGTCGGGTGTCTGTCGGCGGGTCAGAACGCTGCCGTCACCATCATCTACGTCACCGAGCTCGCTGTGCAGGCCGACCACTCGCTGCGCTTCTGTCTGCCGGCTGTACTCAACCCCCGATACACACCAGCAGGTACTGCAGCAGCTGTTGACACACACTTTATTAGAGGAGAGAAGCTGATTCTAACACACTCTGTGTGTGTGTGTGTGTGTGTGTGTGTGTGTGTGTGTGTGTGTGTGTCAGGTTCAGCTGCTGGTATAGTCTCAGAGATTTCATCAGGAGCTGTTCCCTACACGCTGACTCTCAGTGTTTTTAAAGGCCGATGCTGAGTGCAGGGTCGCTAGAAGCCAATATATGAGTCTGGGTAAGTTCTTTAAAATATCTAAAAACAGAATATTTAAAGCTTTGATCAAGTGGTTTGGCTTGAAGTCTGGCAACCTGTAAACTATAGTCTGCCCATTCTGGTATAAATTATTGCTTTCTCTTCAGCTGTTCATCTTCACTGATGGAGAGGTGGGAAACACTAAAGAGGTGCTGGATCTGGTGAAAAGTCACACTCACTCTCACAGGTAAAGCTCTTCTGGGTTTGATCTGTCCATCATTCATATCTTCATCACTAACAGTAACAGAGTTTATAGGTTCTCTGATGAGGGACCCAGTGGTCATGATAAGTTTGTACCCAAAGTTCCCAGAGGAAGTGATGTCATCATTGGCATCTCGAGGCGAGTTTGTTTTTGTGATTGACAGATCAGGCAGTATGGGAGATTATTAAAATCTGCCTTTTCTCTTTCATAGAGTTCAGGAGGCCCTGAGGGAACAGTGACAGTCAAATACAGTCTTAAAGATCAACCAGTAACAAACCAGCTCCACTTCTGCCTCAAACCAACAGAGAAAACACAGTAACACACACAAACACATATAGAAACATATTGAATTGGAGTGACATCAACTGTTTGCTTTTCTAATCCAACAAATTTCCTCCATGTTTCTGCAGGTTGTCTATTCACCGGCTGGTGGCTCGGACCCTGATCCGTTCTCTGGAGCAGAAGGAGAGGTCAGGTGCTGCAGATGTTGAGGGCATCAGGAGCAGGATCGTGGAGCTCAGTGTTCAGGCAGGAGTGAGCTGTGTTCATACAGCCTTCATTGCTGTTAATAAAGACAGCAGACAGACTGTGAAAGGACCCCTGAAGCAGAGAAGAGTGCCGACACGCGGTTAGTGCAAGGATTGTGAACTTGTGAGGATATCTGTGTCCTTTTTTATTATAATATTACAAAATGATGTTCGTGTCACATATATTTTATATTTGCTGTGTTCAATTAATCAAAATATAAATGCTTTTTAGGGTCACAACAGTGTAATTTACAATCACAGATGAACTTGA